AAGATGGAAATAAATTTTATTTAAACAAAATTGACTTCAATAGTAACTCAAAGCTCTTATGAGGTGCTTAGTTGTAATCAGTTTTATAGGAGAAACATATTTGCATGGTGAAATGTAACCTTGGTACTCATTATTTACAATTCTGTGGATGTCAATTTCAATTTTTAGGAAATATTCTCTAACCATTTTAGAAGACAGACGCATATTTATGTTTGATTACATCAGAAAACTATATGATAATTTTGTTACACTGTTTTGTTTCTCAAGAATACTTGAAGTTGGACTGTACAGAACAAGGTAAAAAGGAAAAAATAAAATAAATTAAAAAAAATACTTGTAGCCTGGTCTTGGGTGGTCACTGGAGGGTGTTTCATCTCCAATCTAACATAGGTATTAGAGAAATATTTACTTAATTATGCTATTTTTTTTTAGAAAGTCTGGTCACCAAAAACAATGGATATTTACATAGTTTTATCTAACTTAATAAACACATGGTGGCCAGCACATTTATTTGGGGCTCAATTCAAGGTTTAAGGTTTACCTTCCTTACCCTCCTACCGAAAGGGCTCCCTTCACCCATCTTTCCCCAGGCACTTTCTGTCTTCTTACTCTGCTTTAGCTTTCTTCAGAGCTCTTATCACATTCTGGCATTATGATATTTTATTTGGCATCATATTATATTATCTGTTTATTGTCTGTCCATCTTTCCCAGGAGGCTGTAAATGCCCAAAGGTACACTGGTATCTTCAGAGCCTGGACGAGTCCCTGACATGGAGCAAACCCTTGTTGAATGAATGAATGCACACTCTTTGTTCTTTGACTTAACCATATCACATCCAGAAGAAGGTGACAGGGTGCTGGAGGACACAGGACCCATGACCTCTAAAGAACAGGTGGTGAAGATTATACAGCAAGGTCTTTTGATGCTTAAAGGGCCCTTGACAGGTGCAAGGTGGAACCTTCCATGGTCTTACTTTGAGGGCAAAATGAAGGCAAACTAGTGAATGGGACAAAGAAGCAGATTTGGCCTCACTGTGTAGGCTGAACTCACAAAATTGCTGATATTTAATCATTTTAACCTACAAAAAATGGCGGTTTTATGTGTTCCCACTTAATAAAACAGAACCATCTAATGCCTAAACATATTCAACCACAGAATGGGGTGCTAAGAGAGAAAGTGAGCTCTCCATTGCTGGGTGGGTTTTAATACAAGCTTGATGTTGGANATGCTCTGGCCCATGAGGTGAAGAATCAAAATCAAGGACAGCAGCCAGCTCCACCAACAGCAAGCTCATTCTCGAAGGAGAAGTCATGCCGCCCACCTTAAAAGAAATGTCTTCGGAATTCATTAAGGGAGAGAACAAAACAGACATTCATAGATGAGACTCTCCAAAGGTCATTTGGAAAAAGACTGTTTTCTTTACTTTTCCGCTGCCACTGACCTTATGCAGCTAATGGTCTCAATGTGACCACGTGTTCAAGCCGGGCTAAAAGGGAAGCCGGCCCAATTAGGCTCGGCATGAAAGGAGGCTGGAGATGGTGGAAAGAGTGAAAGGAGATGCGGTGTATATTAGGTCAGCTTATTACCTATCTCCCTGCTAATCATTACTCATAAAATCTCAGCAGGAAATCATTTTGTCTCCAAGAGAATCACAGCTTTACAGCAGTTTTATAATGGAAGGAATGAGGGGTCTCTCCAAGCTGCTCACTGCATTGTTTGGAGGGAAGAGGCTGCAGGCAGAAACATAAACAGNACTAGCTCTGTGGCTAAAAGCAAGACACAACTTTTCTAAGCCTCATTTTCCTAACCTATACATGAGGACAGTCATACTTAACTTGCCGTGGGGTTACCAAGTTACATGGAAAGTGCCTTTGTAGGACTTCAATAAATGGTAGCTACTGTAGTTAATTAAGATCACCCTGATGTCATTAGATCAGGTTGATGGATATTAGATATATAATGGCTTATAATGGGACATTTTGGAACTCTTTTGAGACAGATGCCACAAAGAGCGTTGGGGTCCCAGGCAGTTTACTGACTGATTGGGTCTTATTTTTATGAAAAACTGCGCAACATTTAATGGTAGTGACAGGTAGGGGTCCTGGGGGAGGGTTCAGTTTATGCTCTGGCCCATGAGGTGAAGAATCAAAATCAAGGACAGCAGCCAGCTCCACCAACAGC